CTTGCATGCGGGGAGGGGGAGGGGGTGTCACTAAATGGCATATAAACTAGTGAAATCTGGGAATGACCTATAGAAGCACTTATATCAGTTGTCCAATCAACAAACATATGTACCTAGCACCTGAGGTATGTTTTGACAAAAGGCTTTTGGATCAAAGGACTGCAACTGTGAACATGATTCCCAGCAAATGTATCAGCCATGACAGTGATCTGCTAGGTCACATGCTGGATTTTACAAAAAACAGACCGGATAGATCAAGTGTGCCCTAGCTCTCTCTCTTGTCTCTCTCTCTCTTGCTTTCTTCCTCCCTCTCTAAGTCCAGAGAAACTTAGCAATTATTTATCAATTCAAACAGACTTTTGGCTTCTCTAAAGGTAATGTTCAAAAGTCCAGACTCAGAAGGAGGCATGCACACAGTTTATTAGCCAGGGCTTTGAAGGAAAACAAACAAACAAACCTACAACCACTGAGCACAACCTTGTGACTCTAGTTTCTCTGCTTACCGGACACACTGTCCCTCCCCCCTGGGCTCTGGTTCCACTGCCACAGAGGAAACAGAAGGGAGAGCCACCATTCAAAGAGCTTTCAGCACACCTGAGCCCACTCCACCGTCTCCCAACACATAGAAGCAGATTCCTGGACTGCTGGGAAGTCAGAGCCATCTCCCAGACCCATCTCTTGTCCTCCAGTCACCAGGCACCTATCCATCTGTCAGGCCCTTCTTTAGCTATATACCAGTTACACACAGCTTTCTATCTGTCACACTTACGATTACCAGTCCCCACAAACCCAGCAAGCTCCTACTTGAGAGGTAGAAGAGGTTAAGAGGTACTACCTATGATGGCAGCCAAGCTGTGACATCAGAGGCCTGAAAACATAGTGCTGGGCCTGACGTTCCCCTCCTGGGCTGGTTTATCTTCTAGATAAATGCCTCAGTGAAAATACAAGTGATGCTCCCAAAATCGTGAGTTGGCCTTTTACTCCAGTCATTAGCACTCGAGGGAAATGTGTTTCTCAGATCAGTTATATGGTGACCCAGGAAAGGGGATAATGCCAGAGGCATTACCACCACAGGCAGTAAGAGTCTGGTCTGAAGTGCTACAGGGAATCTGAGTGGTCTGTAACATGTCGATGGACAGGGAAGTTCTCACCTGCTCCATCCTCAAAAGCAGCCTTACTAGAGTATTTCTGTGACCTCCTAACAAAACCTCAAAGTCTTGCACATACCAGGTAACCTCATTCCACTAAAGTCTGAGGGACAACCTGCCAAAACAAGCAAACTCAGGGGGATCACAACTGTCTGAGTCAGCTGTGAAAGAAGCCAGAGAACAGAAATGTGCAGGTATTTGTGTAAGGCAGTCTGGCCTATACAGCAAGTGGCCAATGGACCAGCAAGGAAGGGGTTCACCTTTCAGCTTTCAAAGGCAGGGCTACATTCTGGGAAAAGGATCTTGAGTTAATAAAGTGATCAGCTGTAACCTAGTATCCAGTGTCACACATAACTCATATAAGTGGTCAGTGACAGGTTCCAAATCTGGTTCTCAAAAACTCCGTGCAAGTCATTTAATTCTCTTAACAAGTTTTACCTTTACTATATAACACTTGGAGAAAAAGCATACTCTGCTCATCAAGTATAGGCAAGAGATCCACCTATTGCCATTCATCCATTCATCCCACATTCACTGATTGATTTAACACAGTACTGATGTGCTAGGTACACACTGCAAAACACAAAATGCTTGGAAAGGACAGAGCTGGAATCAGGTAGTTCCTAACTCCTCCTTGGCACCTCCCACCTCCAGCAACTGTGCTGATTCCATGGGCCCGTCCTCAAAGAGTGAATGCTTTTCTGACCCTGACCTGGCTCACAAAAGGCTCCATTTAGCAACAAGTTCATTGGTGCTGACCTAGAACTGTGACAGGAGACTGACCCCAATGTCTTGTCCCTCTGTGACTGGGTTAGGGGCAAGATGGAGAGGAAAGGAACAGGAATTGTAAAAAGAAAGGCACAGTCTTAGATCACAAGGTGGTGCAGTTGAAAAACCCAGTAGACTTTGGCTCTTATCAATACACACAACAAATCCAGCTCATGTTTATATAGCACTTACTATATGTGGTTTAAGCCCTTTACCAGAATGTGTTTTACAGTCCAGATGTCTGGTGAATCCTGGTCTACATTAGCTGTGTGACTTTGGGCAAACTGCTTAGCTTCCCGGGATACCATTTCTTTGCCTGGAAAATAGGGTAACACTAGTACTAACTTAATAGGGTCCTCATAAAAATTAAATTAGTAAAAATATAAAATGCTAAAATTGAACCCTGTCCTGGCACTCAGTGCTAATATGAACAATTATTATCCCACTAGTTAATAACACTCGTCCACAGAGAAGGCCGACTACTTCTTATTTTGTTAACAAGGTTTTGAGAGACTGAGTCAATGTCTCAAGGCCACAAAGTGGCAGAACTAGAATTTGGATGCAGGCAGCCTGATTCCAAAGCTTGCAAATTTAACCACCAGCATGAGGACAGCACTGTGCTAGGTTCCAGGTAGAGACCAGTCAGGGGATGAACAAGAGATCCCTATAAAGCACGGTGAACACTACAAGAGAGTTACATTAAAAGAAAAAATGGGAGAGGAGGGCTGGGGACAGGGTAGCAGGGAGGGATAAAATGAAACCACCTGTAGGGGCTGAATTATGCTTCACCCAGCATGGGACTTGAGATCTGGTCTCAAAGAATAATGAGGAATTTGCCAGCCATGGAGAAAGACGGGCGTTCCAAACAGTCAAGACCTAGAATACCAAAAGAATAGGAAGTTGGGTGGAATAGAAAGTGCATACAGGAAGTGTCATGAGATGAATTTGGGAAGGTAAATTGAGGCCAATGTGAAGAGGCATGTAGGCCAATGTCTGAGGTTAGATTTTATTCTCTGAGACAGTGATTCTCAAATTTTAATATGCACAGGATCTACCTTGGTGCTCATAAAACACGTGCAGATTCTCATCTCTTCTGTCACCTGGAGGTGGGAGGACACTAACATTTGCATGTTAAGAGCCAAAAATGTTTCCGGAAATTGCCGGATACCATTTGGGAGGCAAAACCGAAACCCTAGTTGACAGCCTCCGCTTCAAATCCTCCCATCCCTACTTTCCAGACACAGAAAACTACAGTAAGACCTCATGCAGGATTTAAATGCTAGTGGTCCCACTCTAGGGTTTAGGTTAGCCAACAAGCCTCACAGTGTTTTGGGGAGAGAGACCCAAGACATCCTTCTGGGGAAGAATTACATATTTGATGACAGACTGGATGACGGGCAGAAGATACAAGAGTGAGGTTTCAAGCTGAAATTTCAGTGCTTTCCACTGAATTGTGAGGATAGTAGGTACTAAATAAATCATTTGGATTTGAATAGAATCAAGATGTATTTGCTCAAAAAGTAAAAAGCCTGGTCCAATGTAGTATGACCCAGGGATAGGTGTTGGTATTCTGCTCAAACTGGATAGAGGAACTCTTTGCAGGGTAGGATGTGGGTATGCTTGGTACAAACCAGCTGATTCCCAAATCCTGGCTGGATCCCTTCCCATCTGCATAACCTTGGCAGCATTACTCACCCTCTGTGCATCTCACTTTGCCCCTTTGTAAAATAGGGATAGGAGTCCCGACTCAGAGGCTTGATGTGAGAACTCAGGTAGATAATAAGAATAAAATGGCAAGCTTACACAAAATGGTTTCCTTCCCTCTCCTTCCAAATCAGCCTTCTTACCTCCACCCTCCACCCTCGAATCCCACATTCAGTGCTCATCCCCTCCCCCACACCCTAATCCTTGGGAAACCCAGTCAGAACTGCAAGAAGCTGACTACACTCCTCTCCATGAGCAGAGCATCCCCTCTAAGGATTTAGGGACCACCAACTACCTTTTCACACACTGCACCCCCCCCCCAATCCATTTTTATTTCGGGAGCCACCAAAAGCATGTAGCAGGCTGAGTTCCTGGAAAGGAGTCTGGTAAATGTCAGATATGCAGATGACACCACCCTTATGGCAGAAAGCGAAGGGGAACTAAAGAGCCTCTTGATGAGGGTGACAGAGGAGAGTGAAAAAGCTGGCTTAAAACATTCATAAAACTAGGCTATGGTTTTTTAAGTAGTCATGTATGAATGTGAGAGTTGGACCATAAAGAAGGCTGAGCATGGAAGAAATGATGCTTTTGAACTGTAATGTTGGAGAGGACTCTTAAGAGTCTTTTGGACTGCAAGAAGATCAAACCAGTCAATCCTAAAGGAAATCAACCCAGAATATTCATTGGAAGAACTGAGACTGAAGCTCCAATACTTTGGCCACCTAATGGGAAGAGCCAACTCACTGGAAAAGACCCTGATGCTGGGAAACATTGAAGGCAGGAGGAGAGAGGACAACAGAGGACGAGATGGTTGGATGGCATCACTGACTCAGTGGACATGAGTTTGAGCAAGCTCTGGGGGATGGTGAAGGTCAGGGACGGGGAAGCCTGGTGTGCTGCAGTCCACGGGGTTGCAAAGAGTCGGACACGACTGAACCACTGAACAACAAAACGAAATCAACTAAAGCCAAGGACATTTCGGACCTGGCAGGTCCAAGGTCACAGTCGCCGGCTGGGAACTAAGCCTCTGGTCCCGGAGGCAGAGGAGGAGACAGGCGCAGAGATTAGGGAAGGATTCGCTCTCGGAAGCCAGGCTCCACAGGCAAGCAGCAGAGACTTCTTGGATCCAGAAAAAGAAGCAGGGATGCGGGGTAGGAAGCAACAGGAAAGTGAGAAGAAGAAAGAGAAAAGCGCCAGTAAGCAAAGTTCCTTGGGGGTACCCAGGCTACAACACCTGGGCAGGGGGTCAGGAAAAAAGCAGCCTCCTCAGGTCAGAAGTGCTCTACGTTTTTCCGAAGCAGGGGTGTTCAGGGCAGGCCACGACCCGCTGGGGATGCCAGGCGCCCCTACACCCTAAGCGCGCTCAACCGCAACGCTTACCTTCGCCGGAGCCGCCAGCGCGCACTTCCGGGGTCCTGGCTCCGGCTGCTGGGGGCGGAGCCGGGGGACCGGGAGCCGATCCCTGAGAGGAGGACGCAGCAAAGCTGTGGCCAAGGTTGGGGCTGGCACTGGCGGTTCGGAAAGAAACCCCAGGGGAGACCTGTGGGCACGCGGTCCCGGCCTGGGCGCTCACGGGCGGCGGTGGTAACCCCAGCAGACGCAGGAGGATCACGATTCGGTGGGAGGAAAAGGTTGTCTCATTTCCTTCAGTCTGCCCCCTCCACTCCACCCACTCTGCTCTGGACCTGCCCTCCCTTCCCCTCCCCTTCCCCAAACCTACCCTAAGGGCTCTGGAAAGACCTGAAACCTGAATGGCTGCGGCTCGCGGCGCCTCCCTCCGCAGCCAGATAGTTCAAGCTCCGAAACTCCTGCCTACTCCGCGCACTCCTAACAGTCTCCAGGGCCCTGAAAGGTTCACCGTGGGCTGTCCCCACCCTGGCCCAGAGCTCTTCCCTTTTCCCCTGTTGGGAGGAAAGAAAAAAAAGTGAAGGTCGCTCAGTCGTGTCCGACTCTTTGCGACCCCATGAACCATACAGTCCATGGAACTCTCCAGGCCAGAATCCTGGAGTGGGTAACCTATCCCTTCCCCAGGGGATCTTCCTGACCTATGAATCCAACCGGGGTCTCCTGCATTGCAGGTAGATTCTTTACCAACCGAGCTATGAGAGGCGCCCTTGCTGGGACCAGTCCAGATTTAAAAGCTGACCTCCAAGCTGCTTCCAGCATCCCATCCTCTCCTTCCTGTCCTGTCGCTTGCTTTGAGCTCTTTTTTGTGTGGGGAGTGTTTTGTTTTGTTTTGTTTCCTTTTTCTGATCTTAGTTCCCTATCTGGGGTCTTAGTTCCAGGACCAGATAGCCAACCTGTGCCCCCTGCTGTGGAAGCCCAGAATCTGAATCACTGAACCACCAGGGACATACCTGAGCCCCTATTAAGCTACTTTTTCCCCCCATTGGGGGTGTTTAAAACCTAATGCGTAATCTCAAAAGAATGTTCATTTTGATGAGGAGAATATTTGATGTCTTTGTTTGGTTTTGCTCATTCAAATTTGGGATTTTCTTTCTTAGATTCAAGGACTGTTTTATTTAAGAGCCTGATAAGTGCTGAGCAGGGCTCTAGGAACTTAGAAAAGAACCAGTAGGGCATGTTGTTCCTGGACAATTGTGATATGTGTCTAGTGCAGATAGAGGCCCAAGGATTTCTGTGGTCTCTTACAAGATAGGTCAAGTACTGGAAGAGCTTTGTACAGAGTAAAAAAGGCATGCACAGAGCTAAGAAGGAATGGAAAACCCCCATCAGGAGGTGGTCTATCAGAGAACACAGCCAGGATGGGGAGTGACGGTAGATGAATGGGGAAGAGAATGGTGACCAGTCTACCAAGAAAGAATTAAGAACTTGTCAACTACAGATTGGCACTTGCCATGGGTGATTGGGCTTCCCAGGTGGCACTAGGGCTAAAGAATCCACCTACCAATGCAGAAGACTCAAGAGACGCGGGTTCAGTTCCTGGGTTGGGAAGATAACCTGGAGAAGGAAATGGCAACCCACTCCAGTAGTTTTGCCTGGATAATCCCATGGACAGAGGAGCCTGGCGGACTACAGTCTTTGGGGGTCATGAAGAGTTGGACATGACTGCCTGACTCAGCACACACACACAAACACACATACATGGGTGCTTGCCATTTACCTCTACAAGGATTAAATCATTCGTTGCTGCTGACTTTCAACATCCCCTAAAGGAGTTCAGGGTGAGGAGCATAAACGAGGCAATCTGTGCCCCAGGAAAACTGACAGGACAGGTCTTCAAATAGATATTCTCAGGAGCTGATTTTTATGAGCCCAATTCTTACATCTCCTCCTATCTAGAACACTAAAATCCTTCATGGTGACACTGTTCCTCAGGACTAGAGAAGGCTTCACGAGACTAATAGAAACCTTCTGGAAAAATAATGTGTTTGATTGCATGTATTCCTTGTTCACAAAAAATCATATATACTGACCTCCCCTCCCCCCCGGCCTCTCTGGAGCAGTTTCTCAAAGCTATCTGAGGTGCTGTCTCCTGGTTGCAGTTCTCACTTTACTGCAGATAAAACTTACAATTCTCATGTTGTGCATTTAAGTTGACAAGCTACAGAGAACAGTGGGCTGGCATTGACAAAAACTAGTGACCAAGAGCTGATGGGGTACAGATGAGTGGGTGAAGTAAAGAGGCAATTTCCAGGCCTCAGGCTGGACAAACTGGTGACTAGTGGATGACCAGAATCCAGAGCACCTTCTGGGGATGCGATTTCAAGTGTGATCTGGGGACTGGCATTATTAACATGAACTGAGAGTTTGTTGCAAATAGGAACTTTCCAGCCCCATTTGACCTACTGAATCAGAATCTAAATTTTAACAAGATCCCAGATAATGCAAATGTGCATTAGAGAATTTCAGAAGCACTGATCTCTAGACCACTGACTGTGTATAAGAATGATTGGGTATTAATTAGACTGTGGAGCTTTTTAATTAGAAACACCTAGAGAGCTTTAAAAAACAATAGGAGGCCCCCAGACCCCTGCTCCCACAAATGCTTATTTAGTTGGTCTGGGGTGGGGCTCCAAAATCAGTGTTTTAAAAATGCTTTTCAGATGATCTAATACAGTCAGAGTTAAAAACCACTGTTTTAGACTTATTCAAACCCTAACCCTAACCCTTGAAGGGCACCTCTTCAGAAAAAAAGAACACCTTTGTGTAAATGACAATGTAAAGACCAATTATCTCACCCTTGTACAGAGGCAACCAGTCTGCTGGAAAGGGCCTTTGTTTCCTAAACTAATCAGGGAATCAGATTCTAGCCTCAGATGGCCTCTGAAGTACTGTTCCAAACTTGGGGCATCTGGCCTCTCAGGCCTCAGTTTCTTATCTGTAAAATACACACATGACTAACTCTAGATTTCACACCTTGGCTTGAAAGGTGCCATGTTCGGAGCTCCTTCTAATTTGCTATCTTTATCAGCAGGTAAATGGAAAAGTGATGTTCAGAGGTGGGTTTTCCTGATAAAACACTCTGTGTGCAACTGCCATTTATAAGCACTAGAGATCAGAGAATTGTGCTGAGCAAAGGCAACACACGTAAGTGATGCTCAGTAAATGTGTACTAAATGTATAAATAAATATACGAATGAATAAATATCATTCATAATGGTGGTATAGACTTTCCATGAACTGGCCCTAACCCAGAATTGGCCCTTCCTAATCTAGAGGAAGGACTCTGGAATTTGGAAGCACTTTGACCCATAAACCTAGTTTAGGATTTAAAACTATTCCCTGGTGGCTCAGCAGTAAAGAATCCAGCAGCCAACACAGGAGATGTGGATTCAATCCCTGGGTGGGGAAGATCCCCTGGAGAAAGAAGAGGCAACCCACTCCAGTGTTCTTGCCTGGGAAGTCCCATGGAAAGAGGAGCCTTGTGGACTACAGTCCATGGGTTCGCAAAGAGTCAGACACAACTTAGCAACTAAAAAACGACAAAAGAAAAAACCTTTGTTTAAAAAAAAAAAAAAACCTTTGTTGAATGCTTAGTATACACCAGGCATTGAGCTAAATACTCTGCTTAGGATAACCTCATTTCATTATAATGAAGAAGATACTGTTGAACTTATGAAGTCAGTTTCAGAAATCATAGATATAAAGGGATGAGGGCAACCCCTAGGGCAGCATCCGGGGCAGCCCCTGCCTCTGGTTGTGCACCTGGGCATATGTGGCCAGAGAGCCCTCTTGGGGGTCTTAGGGGTCACTCTTCAAAGAGAATGCTTCCATAGAGACCAACCTGAGGGAAGGGCTTTGGAGTGACTGCTCCAGGGCCCTATAGGAATCGATGCTCCCAGAAGCTATCTCAAGAGATCTCTGGACTATATGGTTAAGCCTTGAAAAGGGACTCTTCAAAGCTACCCACTTCGTGGTTGCACCTGTTTGCACTTACTGCCTTACTTACTTACAAAAGCCAAACCCTGCTGCAGTTCTTTTCACATATATTTTTCCTAACCCTCACAGCATCCTGACATGTTGAGTACTCTTGTTTTCATGTTTTATAAATGAGAAAACTGAGATGTCATTAAATGAAGATTTGTTTGTCCCTGCAATCCAAGTTTCTCAAGTGGTACACTTGACCACCACCATTGTTCACATTGATCACCACCCTTTTACCCCCACACCACCATTTTGATAGAAACAAGAGTTCTTCTTTCAGATCCCATTCACTTGTCACAGTTATACTTCATCAAAACTCTCTGTCCCCCTTTTTCCCATATGTAAAATAAGTTGTCCTTGATTGCCCATTTACCAAAACACTATGCATGGCTTGGGGCTTCCTCTGTGGCTCAGCAGTTAAGAATCCACCTACAATGCAAGAGACGTAAGAGACACGGGTTCAATCCCTGGATTAGGAAGATCTCCTAGAGGAGGGCATGGCAACCCACTCCAGTATTCTTGCCTGGAGAATCCCATGGACAGAGGAGCCTGGTAGGTTACTGTCCATAGGGTCGCAAAGAGTCGGACATGACTGAAGCAACTTAGTAAGCAAGCAAGCAATGCATGGCTTGATCCTCCATAACTGAGATGAGGAGAGAGAAACTATAGACTGTGATGAGAAGCCAAATATAATGGGGAGATTTATCCCAAGATGAGAGGGTTCAGCACTTCATTAATAGCACAACTATCATAAAAGAGGGAATCCTCTATTTCCCATGTCTGTGCATGCATGCTTAGTTGCTTCAGATGTGTCCAACTCTTTGTGACCCCGTGGACTGTAGCTGATCAGGCTCCTCTGTCCATGGGATTCTCCAGGCAAGGATACTGGAGTGGGTTGTCATGCCCTCCTCCAGTGGATCTTCCCAATCCAGGGATCGAACCTGTGTCTCTTATGTCTCCTGGACTGGCAGGTGGGTTCTTTACCACTAGTGCCATCTGGCATTATGTATAATTTAAGACTTTAGACTGAATGTGAGGAGGGGCTATTAAGTCTGTATCTTAGACCATGGCAGATACTCAGTGGCTATCTTATGAAGCTAATCCCCTGGTTATGGGACTGCTGGACTGGCCTTAAGGCTGAGTTAAATAGAAACACAATCTGGGGTTGAGAACCATAGGATGATCCAGGTAGGAGCAGAAGCAGGAGGGAGTCTATACTCACAGACATGGCCTGTGACTCCAGTTATAGGCAGGGGTGGGGAATTAGAAGAGGAAAAGTGTTCATCCTGGGAAAGCAGAATCTGAAGTAACTACTTCATGCATGGGTCCAGGCCCAGAGCTGTGAACTAAGCTCTCACTGTAAGCACTCTTGCTGATGTGAATGTCAACAAGCTTGGGCCTCCCTGCAGAGTATGCTAGGCTCCCAAGGTGCTGGTGGTTAAGAGCAAGGCTCCACCATCCTGCACACTGGTGTCCTGGTTAGCAGCAGGACATCTTGACTCATGGAAGAGATCCAGTCCCATGGGCTTCCTGGTGGCGCTAGTGGTAAAGAACATGCCTGCCAATGCAGGAGACATAAGAAATGAGGGCTCGATACCTGAGTTGGGAAGATCCTCAGGAGAAAGAAATGGCAACCCACTCCAGTATTCTTGCCTAGAGAATCCTATGAATAGAGGAGCCTGGCAGGCTATAGTCCATAGGGTTGTAAAGAGTCTGATAAGACTATAATGACTGAACATAGTCCTCAGAGCCTCCCCCTCCCATTTTTTAACACAAAAAAGAAGTGGTAGTTTTAACCCTCAGTCAGCGGAGGCTGTAGCATTTCTTCAGCAACACTAATGTCATGATGCTAGGATTTAGTAGGAGATTCCAAGTCCACATCATTGCAGATCCCTGTCAATCAACTTAAACAAGGACCCCAGACACATTTTTGCTGCTTCCACTTCCCAGACTCTCATCTGTGTTTGCATGACTGCAATTTGATGATTTTACACAAAGCTCATTGTGGCGAAACTTTACTGATACTGGTTTTTGCCTCAAACAAAACTATGACCTCAAACTTTGGTTATTTCCATTTTACTGATGAGGAAATTAAGGCACAACACTCAAAGGGGGCAATGAATCTAAAGTGAGACCTTCAAGCCCCTATGATTTTACCCCCAAATGATGTAAGTAAGATGCTGCACTATGCTTGCAGTGAAATAGGTCCAGACATGTCCTCACTCAAAATCATCTGGCCTCTCTAGCCTATTTACCAATGTGGTTCAATTTATCTGCCATTTCCTGGAGACTACCTGCCTTCACAAAGAATTTTCCTAGACACCAGAGGCATGTTACCCTCACTCCTAACCTGGAGAATATTTTATTTTATTATTAATTTATTTTGGGGGGGTATAGGGTACTTTTATTGATGGTGCAGGACAAGGCAGTGCTCCCTAAGCCCCTCCCCTTCCTCAGCGCCTTGGGGATGGAAACTGTGTGGAGGTCAGGAGATTCTTAGTGTCGCGAGGATCGAGGTGGGCCAAGGACTCCCCAGCAGCTGAGGAACTCTCTCTTCCTCTCATGCTCCTGCTGGGGTCTGGGGACCTTACTCCTTGAAGGCCATGTGGGCCATGAGGTCCACCACCCTGTTGCTATAGCCGAATCCATTGTCGTACCAGGAAACGAGCTTGACGAAGTGGTCGTTGAGGGCAATGCCAGCTCCAGCATCGAAGGTAGAAGAGTGAGTGTCGCTGTTGAAGTCGCAGGAGACAACCTAGTCCTCAGTGTAGCCTAGAATGCCCTTGAGGGGGCCCTCTGACGCCTGCTTCACCACCTTCTTGATTTCATCATACTTGGCAGGCTTCTCCAGGCGGCAGGTCAGATCTACAACAGACACGTTGTGGGTGGAGACGCAGAAGGCCATGCTAGTGAGCTTCCCATTGTGTTCAGGGATGACCTTGCCCACGGCCTTGGCAGCGCCAGTAGAAGCAGAGATGATGTTCTGGGCAGCCCCTCAGCTATCATGCCACAGCTTCCCGGAGGGGCCATCCACAGTCTTCTGGGTGGCAGTGATGGTGTGGACAGTGGTCATGAGTCCCTCCACGATGCCAAAGTGGAGGTCATGGATGACCTTGGCTGGGGGACTAAGCAGTTGGTGGTGCAGGAGGTGTTGCTGACAGTCTTGAGGGTGGTGTTATACTTCTCATGGTTCACGCCCATCACAAACATGGGGGCATCAGCAGAAGGCTCAGAGATGATGACCCTCTTGGTGCCACCCTTCAAGTGAGCCCCAGCCTTCTCCATGGTAGTGAAGACCCCAGTGGACTCCATCACGTACTCAACACCAGCATCACCCCCCTTGATGCTGGTGGGATCTCGCTCCTGGAAGATGGTGATGGCCTTTCCATTGATGACGGGCTTCCCTTTCTCCACCTTGACTGTGCTGTGGAACTTGCCGTGGGTGGAATCATACTGGAACATATAGACCATGTAGTGAAGGTCAATGAAGGGGTCATTGATGGTGACAATGTCCACTTTGCCAGAATCAAAAGCAGCCCTGGTGACCAGGCACTCAATGCAGCTGAATCCTTCACTCCAACCTTCACCATCTTGTCTCAGGGATGCGGCTGGCACAGCAGGGATGTTGCGGCTATCTGTCAAATGGGCAGGAGCAGAGAGCTGGAGAATATTTTAAAATTGCAAGCTGGGCTCCAAATCAATTGAATCAGAATCTCTAGGGGTGGAGCCCATGTTTTTAACCTCTGCAGGTAATTAAAATTACAGTCAGGATTAAGAAGCATTTCTCTAGGAAAGGCAGAGACAAAGCCTAGGTCCTAACAGATGAGGCAAACAATAAGGTGCTCTGTTTAGTAATGGATGATCACCAGAAGTCATCAAGAAAAGGAAAATATCAAAATCTCCCTCTTGACTGAAGCATGTTAAGATAACACCAAACTAACAAAAATCCCTGGACTTATCTCAGTCTTGAGCAGGTGAGGTCATCAACACATGTTGAAGAGTAGGAAATCTTGTTCTGTCCTAAGAAAGTACAAATGATTGAAACCAGAATTCTTGTCCTTTCTCTTATGACACTGCTATTTACAAGAAGCATTCATACATCAAGCACTTATAATTTCAGAAGTAGTAAATGATCTCTAAGAGTCAGAGCAAGACAGTAATGTAAACATGTAAACCAAAGACAAAAGAAATTGCCTCATGACTTTTGTTGTTCAGTCACTCAGCCCTGTCCAATTCCTTGCAACCCCATGGACTGCTGGACACCAAGCTTCCCTGTTCTTCACCATTTCCCGGAGCTTGGTCAAACTCATGTCCATTGCATCAGTGATGCAACAGTCACCATTAATGATGTCACATTAGGAAAATCAAGAAGCTGAGAATTTTTAAAAATGTTCTACCCTATAGTCTTTAAATATTTATTAATATTAATAAAAGTAAGATTATTGTTTAAATAATCTTGTTTAATATTGAACATTGCTTCAAATATTATTTAAAATATTACAGGATGCAAGACAATTTCTTTCTCTTTGTTTCTTGCTTCCTTTTTTCCCTATTTTTTAAAAAATCCACCTTTTCACTTTTACCTTTACACTCCCTGGAAAACTGATAAAATTTACATTAAGGCCCATGGAGTCATTAACCAGGTGACATTTAAATTCACTTCATAACTTCCCACTGAAATGATGCTAGTCATATGATAGATATTTAGGTTGGTGCAAAAATAATCATGATTTTGCATTGTTGAAATTTGCTGTTTGATATTGGGTTATATTCTTAAATTAAATGTGGTTATATTATACATCATTTTAATGTGCATTTCTCATTTTATGTTTTTTTGCTAGTGACATTACTTGCTTATTACTTATTACTTGCTGTTTATTTTACATTTATTTTGGATTAGGGAAATGATGTTAGTCAAACAAGCAAATTTGAGAGATTTTCTTGAGTTCAAAATGGATCTTAAAGAAGCAGAGACAACTTGCAATATCAATGATACATTTGGCCCAGGAGCTGCTAACAAACAGATACTGCACTGGTGGTTCAAGAAGTTTTCAAAGGAGACATGAGCCTTGAAGATAAGGAGCGTAGTGGCTGGCCATCAGAAGTTGATAATGACCAACTGAGAAGACTATTTAAGCTGATCCTCTTACGAGAAGTTGCCAAAGAACTCAATGTCAGCACTTCTGTGGTTGTTTAGCATTTGAAGCAAATTGGAAAGGTGAAAGAGCTCGATAAGTGGGTACCTTATGAGCTGACTGAAAATCAAAAAAGTTGTTGTTTTGAAGTTTCATCTTCTCTTATTCTATGCAATGAGAGAGAACCATTTCTCCATCAGATTATGACGTGCTATGAAAAGGAGATTTTTATACAACTGGAGACAACCAGCTCAGTGGTTGGACTGAGAAGAAGCTCCAAAGCACTTCCCAAAGCCAAACGTTGCACCCAAAAAAGGCCATGGTCACTGTTTGGTGGTCTGCTGCCTGTTTGACCCACTACAGCTTTCTGAATCCCAAGAAAACCATTACATCTGAGAAGTATGCTTAGCAAATTGATGAGATGCACTGAAAACTACAATGCCTGCAGCCAACATGGGTCAAAAGAATGGGCCCAATTCTTCTCATGATAACACCCAGCCGCATGTCACACAACCAGCACTTCAAAAGTTGAATGAATTGGGCTACAGTGTTTTGCCTCATCTGGTATAATCACCTGACCTCTCACCAACCAACTACTGGTTCTTCAACATCTTGACACCTTTTTGCAAAGGAAAACACTTCCACAACCAACAGCATGCAGAAAATACTTTCCAAGAGTTCATCAAATTCTGAGGTGTGGATTTTTATGCTACAGGAATAAACAAATTTATTTCTTATTGGCAAAAATGTGGTGATTGTGATGGTTCCTATTTTGTTTAATAAAGATGTATTTGAGCCTAGTTATAATGATTTAAAATTCATGGTCTGAAACTGCAGTTACTTTATCACCAACCTTAATAGTATTAGTTGCTAATACCTCTTAGACACCAAAGGTTGAAGAATGCAGCACCAAACACTTACAGCCAGACCTTTCATCAGCTTTTTCACCTTTGATCACCAAATAAGTCAATATTGACAGTTATGCCCTCTCTAGTTTCCAGAGACAGATAACCAAATGTATGGTCCCTGGTCTTTTCTTCATTTTCAGAAAGTGAAGTTTTACCTATACAGAGAAATATAAGGGGATGCTGGATGCACTAGTCAAAAAAATTTCATGAAACTGAAAAGCATAGAGAACTTAAGCCACACAGCTAAGTACCAACCCCCGCAACTGGCCTCCCGGTGTTCTAATTATTTCCTCCATCTTTCTTAAAATATTATGCATTTAAAATAGATGAAATAATGAGGAACAAGCATCCACTAAGGATGTCTTTATTCTATTGCAAAGTGGAAACTTATCTCTCATTGAATTATTTCCCCATGGGTCCAGTCAGAAGAGTAGAAATCTAAGTCCTCTTGGCTCAACCACCATATCTTGCTTGAGGTAACAGAGAAGAAATCAAAATATTTCTCTAGCCAGTTTCTGCTGCCTAATAAAATATTACTTCTGATTACTGGTGGGTTTCAAACCAAAAAATATTCACCAGTGAAACTATAAATATAGCTGAGTATAAATTTTGCTTCTCAAAAAAAAATTTTTTTTTGCTTCTCTTTTATTCCCTCTATTTCCATGGGGCAATTCTCATCCTTTGGCTGAGACCTTTACTTTTTTCATCGAAGCTAACAGGCTAAATAAGCATGAACAGAATTTTAATAAATCATTCATAGAAAACATTCTCTTTCTAATGAACAGGAAGTCACTGTGCAACTGAGAGGTTTTAATGATAAGAAATGAGACAATGGAAACAGGAAACATGCCTAGTAAAATTTTTAGTAGTTGTGTTTTAAGAAAGTGAGAATTTTACTTCTGTCCACAGCACATATGACCCTAAATGTTGTCTGTAAGATAAATGTCTTTCTTATATTGAAAATGTCATTGACATTTCAATTTTGAGACATTCTGCTACACTTAACTTTAGTCCCACAATCTGTTTAAAAAAAAATGCACTTCATACGTAGCAAATTACTAAAAGTCATTTTTAGAGGAATAAGAAACAGTAGAGTTCAAAATAAAGTATAAAACCTTAATTACAGTAGCTCAACATAATAACATAACTGAACTAAACTCTGAGCTCTATTTCAGTACTCCTTTACAAGACAGTCTGCAACTCTTCCAAATTTCTCAAAGACTTGTATCCTGCAACTCTGTGAAAGGTGTGAGACTGAGAAATTGAGTGATTTGGTCTGAAAGATAAATAGGCAAACACAGAACATACCAAATTATTCATTTCTTTGAAGAGTGTGCACTAACCAGAACAGATGGTTGAGGCGACCCTAAACTCAAAACCCTATAGTGCATTCATTAATCAGTTCTCTGATTCATAACTTTCATAGTAGCAAGTTCTGGAATATGGTGTCCTTATGCACAGGTGTGCCAAATCTAATCAAACCAAATGGACGGCACTCTGTTCATTAACCCAGTGCCTAAACTGAAGTGATTTCTAAATTGATGTCTGCATCTAGCAAACAGTCAGCCTCCTATGGTGTGGACACAGCTAATGGAGTTAGGGATCTACTTTAGGTTGAAAAAATAGTCTAAGATTATGGTCCAAACAGAAGAAGAGATAATACATGAAAAAACAGATTCATTTGCTTCAATAAAAGGGCCATACTTGGAACCCTTTAAATTAGCATGTAATCTCTACTCCCTTGGGCACATGGGAAGTTTGGTTGGTCAGCGGAATCTTCTTCATGCTTTAAGCCCATGCTTGCCAGACCTTGCTTTCTAATACTTTTTTCCCTCTCTTATCTTTTATCCTCTCATTGCCTCCTTCCTAAATCTTGAACATGCCTGAGTCCTCCTCATCAATTGAAACACATAAATAAATTACCCACTTATGTATATTTTTCCATATCTTTATCTCTTCTCCAAATTTCTCAAACAAATGGGTGTATTTACTTTCACTTTCTCAAACTCCATTCAGTCGTCAGCTCACTGTTGCCTATTTTCTGGCCCCAACATACTGTTGGAATTGCCCTCAATAAAGTCAATAATAGCCTCCAAATTTCAAAATCCATTGGTTGTCCCTGAGCTCATGTTGGTACCTCTCTGCAGTATTGTCCGCCGTTGGCCATTTTCTTCTTCACAAACCATACTCCCTTCACTTCTGCACTTTCCCATCACTTAGATTCCTTCCTATCTTTGTGGTCATACCTCCTTTGTGACCTTCGTTAACTGGCTTTGATTCATGATAATTGCATCTGTTTGTGTTACTAAAATCCTTTGGGGGTTGTCCACCTCGTACAGAATAAAGCCTAGACTTCTTAGCATGGAGTTCAAGGCTTTTCAGGGTCAGCCCCCACGCAGCCTGTAACAGCCTGCAGTGCTTCACTCTATGAACCTCTTTGCGTTGCATGCAGGCTCGGTTGCTTCAGTCGTGTCTGACTCTTTGTGACCCCGTGGATTGTAGCCCATCAGGCTCCTCCATTCACAGGGATTCTCCAGGCAAGAATAC